CCATAGCCTTCTTATCGTTATCGTTATCGTTATATTTCCCTCTAGCCCTCTCGCTTAGGATGAGCTTTCTTTTTTATGGCAGCTTAAGCGAAGGCTATATACCTGCTTTATGCAGGTTGATGCCAACGCGAACAAGCAAAATAATAATAATAATAGCCTTCTTGCTTTCTTGGCCTGTCAACAGCTGACTGTCTGTAACACACTGTTTCCCAAAAGGCGCATTCACATATACACCTGGCAACACCCTGGATCACAGAAATGGCACTGCATAGACTACGTAATTGTTCGGCAGCGATATCGTAAACGTTGCATGGATTGTCAAGTGAAGCGTACGGCAGAGTGTAGCACTGACCACCGCTAGATCCGCATGAAGTATCGATTACCTGATATTGCATAGCAGCGCTATCACCGTGACTCGCATTCCAGGCCTCGGAGATTTGCTGTCCATCGGTTTAACCGGTTGCCATTTATGAGAGGAGGAGGCTGAGAGCGTGTCTGCATTGCGTGCTGGGTACTGTCCCGGCTGGCTGATACATATGAGTGTGCCTCATCCGTGGACTGTAAGTGGAATGCTGTGAAGTCGGCTGTCGTCGATGTGGCTGGGGAGGTGAGACAAGCGGCGTGTACCGGACTGGTTTCGTGATAGTGCCCCGACACTGGAGCCCCTACTAGCATCCCGTAATCGGCTATACGACCTGTGGCTCAGAACTGGCAATCAGAATGACGACAGGGCTTTCAAGGAGGCTCGTGCCCAGGCTCGGGCTGGTATACGGCAGGCAAAGACCGCCTGGTTAATGGAAAAAGCGGCGGTGGTGCAGCGGGGACGTTTCAGCGGCAAATACGTGTGGTCTGCCATCCGAGATATGCAGCGCTGTTTTGGAGGACTAAAGCCAATATCTGAACAGGCTATCCGCAACACTCGGGGAGACGTCTGTGGATCTGTGCAAGAGCAGAGGGGCACATGGCACGGGCATTTCTCGGGTGTTTTGAATGTCTGCAGTACTTACGATGCAGAGGTATTCCAGCAAATTCCCCAGCGGGAGATCATGCACTCGCTAACGCAGCCACCGTCGGGAGAAGAGTTGACCCATGTTCTGAGACATCTGAAGAACGGCAAGGCTGGTGGCATGTCGCAGACCGTGCCCGAACTGTTGAAGGTTGGTGTGCCCGTCCTCCACCCACTCCTTCTGGACCTGCTTCGATCTGTCTGGTCGGAGGGTTACGTACCACAGGACTGGCGTGATGCAGTGCTCATCCCCATACCTAAGAAGGGCGACCTTTCTCGATGCGACAACTGGCGAGGAATTGCATTGCTGGAGGTTGTGGGAAAGCTAGCTGCTAGGGTTGTGCAGAATCGCCTGCAAGTGCTCGCTGAGGATGAGCTACCGGAGTCGCAGTGTGGGTTCCGGCGAAACCGTGGTTGTGCTGATGCCATCTTCTCTGTCCGCTAACTGATAGAGAAATCTTATGAGCATCGATCGAAGCTGTTTTGCGTCTTTGTTGACCTCCGCAAAGCATATGACTCTGTGCCTCGTGAGGCTCTGTGGCAGGCATTGCTTCGGCTCGGTGTCCCCCCCCCCCCCCCTCAGGCTGTGGCTCTCGTGAAGTTGTTCCATACGGATATGTCGGCGTCTGTTTGTGTTGCTAGTGGTTGTACCGATCCCATCTCTGTACAAAATGGTTTACGGCAGGGATGTGTCATGGCTCCTGTGCTGTTCAACCTGTATTTCGGATTGGTGATGGAGCGGTGGAGGTCTGTTCTCAGGGAGCGCGGCATCGAGTCTGATGTGGATTTCAGCTTCTTGATTGATGGGACAGTCTCAGACTGGTCATGCTGATGATTTTGAGTTTGCCGATGACGCCGTCCTACTCGCAACAACTCGTGCTGCAGCCGACCTCTCCCTATCCGCCTTCTGTGATGTGGCATCCAGCTTTGGCCTCACGGGCAGCATGACGAAGACTAAGCTACTGGTCGCGGGCTATGGAGTCGCCGCCACTGATTGTTCCGATCTGGCATTTGGCAATGAAAGTGTTGAAGCTGTTACCTCCTTCCCCTATCTTGGACCTGTCATAACTCCGAATTCGCGAGCTCATGCCGATGTCCAGAGCCGCCTTGCGAAGCGTGCCAGGGACTTTGGCTGTCTTCGGCGGATTTTGCATGATCAGAGCCTGAACCAACCTACTCGACGGCATTTGTACGTGGTATGTGTTCTCACCACGGTTTTGTATGGCTCAGAGTGTTGGACCCCATTGAAGTTGGATTTGGACAAGCTGGACAGGTTCCATCACGCCAACCTACAGTCAATCCTTGGCATTTCGCGCGGCCGCCAGTGGGAGCAACACATCACATCGGAGCAACTACGCGCACAGTGGGGTGACCCTACTCCACTGTCGTGCATGGTACAGAGAAGACGCTTGGAGTAGCTTACGCACCTAGCTCGGCTCGATGACAATCGGTTACCCAAGCAGTTGCTCTTCGCTCATCTCCAACGAACCCGCCCGTTTTGCGCCCCCGACAGAGCTGGAAGGACGCTGTCCGGGCTGATCTGACTGTGGCCGTTGTGCACAATTGGTTCGAATCGGCCAACGATCGCAAAGAATGGCGTGATATTGTGTCGGCAGCAGCGGGGGTGAAGGAGCCTGCCCCGAAGACGATTGTGTGCCACGTTTGCGACTGCATGTTTCGTCGTCGCGCTGACATGGCCCGGCACAAATGCACAGCAGTCCGACATCAGTGCAGTGTTGTGCCTGCAGTAGATGGCTCCGGAGCAGGGGTGGGCTTGCAGTGCATAAGTGTCAAGAGAAGGACAACTGTGACGACTGACCACCTAGTGATGCTCATCCTGTTGCCGAGGTCCCGGTATGCTCCTCCTGTTGCCGAGGTCCCGGTATGCTCATCCTGTTGCCGAGGTCCCGGTATGCTCCTCCTGTTGCCGAGGTCCCGGTATGTACAGCCTGACAGCGTACTTTTAAGTCTACTGCTGGCCTCAAGCGCCATCGCTGTGGACCCCGCCCGAATCGCCCTACAGTGACTGATCGCCAGCACTTTGAACATCATTGCCGAGTCTGTAATTGACGCCAGTTTCGGAGGCGACAGGCCCTGGAGCGCCATTTGAAGCACTACCTACCTCTCCCCTAACCTCTCTGACAGTACCTCCCTTCTGGGAGCAGCGTGGTCATTTCTTGGCAGCTGTCAATAGTAGTAGTAGTAGTGTGTGTTTGTGTGTGCGGGTATATCCCTTTGAAAATCAAAAACAGACAACAGCAGACCTCTCATCATTTGAATATTAGTAGATTTCCGGGTAGGCGTTCGTTTCGCTGGTCTAAGCTTACCCTTGCCTTTACGTACTCCTAGTGTGAGTCTACAAAGATCCTAACACTAGGCATACATGTATGCTGGAAATACATAGTGCTGGACTGGCACAAAACAAGACAGGCCAGTATACGCGAAAAACAGAGTCAAACACTTGTCGACTTCAAGGAAACACACATCCTGTTCTTACGAACAACTGGTAATGACATTTTCACAATTCAACGGAGTGGTGCAGTGCAGGCTAGGAACACTCGCTCTCCAAGCGTCAAAAAGCAGAAAAAGCCTATCGCTTTCCTGCGCAATTCCTTGTGGTGTGAGGCACGCTTCGGTGTTTTCGTGATCCATTTTGAGAAGACAAATCACAGGTTGTGCCCGCCGTCAGATTTGCTAATAACCAGGTCAACCGGTTAATGAAGAGGCCATCCAGTATGGCTATCTCCTGCCGTTTCATTTTTGTTCTTGTTATGGCGTGGATTTCCGTGCAGCTCGCATCAGGTAGGCCTCTTGATTTCATCTTGCTTGCGGGCTAGGTCGGCAGGTTAAAATTGTTATACCGGTATCTTAATCCTCGGCCAGAATGACCACTGGTGAATTGCCTTATTCTAGGGGTGCGGTACGTGGAACTTGCCGTGTAGGAACTAATGTAAACCTGCCCCTCGGCACAGTTGAGATTCGCGGCATAATCGGGCTTTGACACTAGTCAAGAATAACAATGATGGACTTTCGTGTCCAGGTCATCCGTGTGAGTAAAATTAAGACACGACCACCGCTATTCACTTGTGCCAGTCAGTGAATGCTTAACAGAACAAAATGAAAAGGTTCTTCGGATGTACTGTTACATGGCAATAGGCTGTCATAGAGGAGTCAGGTGTGCAGCCTGAGTATACCCGCATTCTGTAAGGCATATGGCATTGCTCTGCCACTTTAAATCGGCTCCCATCCCGCAGCACAGCTAAGGATTAGGTCAATATGAATACATGTACGGGTTTATGACCATTGTCTCACGATATGAGACTGTAGGAACTCTCAAGGTTGGAGATGTTGTCCTTCTTCCAGTCAAGAAGTCTGGAGCTATTACCCGCTACTGAAAGATACACCCAGCCGGAATAGTGTATCTCGCACTGCAAGCCGACACACGATACTACGAGGAAACCCCCTGTAAAGCTGCCGACCCCGCAAAACACCCACGTTATTATTTGTAGTAGTACAGTACTTGAAAGATGTTGCCGGGCAAAATTCTCAAAACGTTGTTGTTTGTACTATTTGACAGGAAAGAACTACTTAATTCATTTCTTTTCAACGAAAAATCATGATCATGACCGTGTACCACTTGTTACATACTCAATATAGGTATAGGAAGTTGATCTGATTTACTGACTTCTGGTGCTTTGATGTTGTTATGATCATGTAAGGAAGTAGAGCAATCGCAACAGACAAGTCTATAAATTTTACAAGGTACGCTTGGTAAGCGGGTGAAACAACCTTGATTGAAGAAACGGAAGCTCCATACTACGTCATAATCATGATGATGCTTGGCAAAATCGGCTTTAAAACTAATATAGTATAGTAGTATAGTACTAGAGTGCTTAAAAGATTCAAAGATTCAATACAAGGTAATGACACTGAACTCTGAGTGCTAGTTGGATATGTGATCTGTTTAATTTTTGATTGTGCAGGACAAAGAAGATACTGTACGCTTACTCCGTACCTTGGACGGGTTACGAATGGACGCAAAATCCTGAGGAAGGAACATAACCCCTCTCCACAAGATGGCCAGGCACGCGCCTGGTACCCGTTCACATTGACTGTATCATGTGGCTTCGGGTATCACGTGACTGGAAGAGGAGGAGCCGCAAGAATGGCTGTGATGCGGTGCATGGAAGATGGTACTTTGCAATGTTTAGGGAAGATACACATGTAGAAGGGTAGCTAAGCTCAGGCAGAAGTAAATGAGCGATATGACTAATACAAGTACTTCCAAAATATAAAAGTAGAGGTATAGCACTGTTCACGATGAGAGTCAACTCAACAATAACATTGGGGTTGGTGAAAGTTGGACATAGCAAGATGGAACGGGAAACGAAAAACGGTAAACATGGAGAGTAGGTGCAACAACGAGAAACTAACGTGCGAAACAATAACATGCATGGTAAAACTTATCAAACTGACCCGACAGCAGAATTATCGAGATCTGAACTGACAGACAGACAGGCGTTCTTGTGATCACAGCGACCCTTTTATACCAGACTGTTAGGAGGTTTTGCGGCAGCAAGGCGATGACTACATGTCCTTCGAATGACTCTCCGGGGCGCAGCCTATACATGTAGACCAGAAGGAGCAGCTGAAACTGGGAGAGCCTTTGGGTAAGAGACAGAGGGACATACGCGCACACAACAATAACAACCGTATACGAAAATGGGACAGCTCCCACAGGTGATTCTCAATAAAACTGCCTGAGAAAAACAAGACAAAGAGCAGAAGGGAAGACAAGCTGGCAAAGGAAGCATAGATAATTATAGTAAATGGGATATTCTAGCTCTGACCATTTGCTGATGGGTCTGATAAACACACCTTCCACGCCGTAGAAGACGCGTTCCCAGGGATTCGGAAAACTAAGCCTGACTCAATCGTACACGGACGGTGAAAAAACATCCGATGACCAGGTTCCTAAGCCCTCTCGCTTAGGCGAGGAATACATATTGTGTGCTAATCACACCGCAACAGTGTAGTAAAGGACACATATGGACTTCCAAAGGGATCGTGTACGCAAGTCCAGAACTACAGCGAAGCACATACACAATTACATACACAAATGTGCCAGACATTCAGAACACTATTATGGCCTCGGGCAAAGTCATCATGGCTCCAAAAACTAATTCTAACCCAGCAGGTCAAAGTGGCAGGGGAATTGAGACTGGGAAAGAAAAGGACAGCACAAGGTGAAACACTCAACGTTACAGTCCGTTTCAAAAAGATTTGCAATCCTGGCGATCGCCCGCGGAGTTTGGCGTCTTACCGTATGAGCACTCGAGCGCTGCCTGGAAAAACTCACTGTGAACTCGAAGAAATATTCCGCGCGAAAGCAGGAAAAATGACAACTCACTCACGTTGATACAGTCATGTATATCTGGTTTACAACAAACGAGTTCTTCCTCGTATCGATAATGGAGTCAGAGAGGACATGTCGAGACGAAAGAGTTGTAAATGTTGACGAGCGGCATGTGTCCCAATTCGTTTTGTGACCAAAATAGTTTCTTTGAGCTGCGATGCAGTTTACTCACCGTGTGACGACATCGACACGGACTCATTCCCAAGGCCATGTGACTTCGAAGACATTTTGAGAAAAGCAGACGCTTGTGAACGCTGATAGAAGACGGCGTTGACTGCTTAATTCAAATCAATTGGCGATCTTGAAACTAAAATAAATCTCAAAAAGCTACGGCGCGATGACTTCCATATTCATTCACGCGATTGCAGTGTTGTGGGTGTGTTCACATGGCGTGAGCCAGTCAAGTGTCAGTCAGTTCGGCAGGAAGCGCGAGCTTCAACAACAAGTCGTTTGGTGCAGCCATCTTCTTTGTCTTGTACCAGCTTGATCACCAAAACAATGAAAACAAAGTTTGACTTGAGGATAGGTTGGGATTTGAACTCACAACTAATTACCGGTACTTCATGGTCAGCAGACAGCATTCATAACCACAAGGCCAAAAAGGAAAGGATAAATCGTGGGTTTTGATAAAAAAAATCGATACTGGCTTCCTGGGCAAATTCTAAACCATGGGAAAAGGCTGGAAACCTGGCCGAAATTCTAACTCCTTAACGGCTGGTCCAATTGTTCCGAAACCTTCACAGAACAATTTGCCGTGTCCTAACAAGCCATTCTATGTAGAATCTACTTTGTTGTCCAAATTTCCCTTATCTACATACTTTTTTAAGACCCAAACATGATTGTAAATCTTTTTGAAACAGACTATAGGAGCTGTTGTCTAGGTGAGGCATACGTACGGTAAGAAGACACCTGTGGATATTTGGAATCCAAGGATACTTGGCCCTTCCCTGGGCATTCGACCAGCAATCACTGTAAGATCTGCACTGTCATGACGCCTATTGCCACAGCAGATGCATAGCATCTCATCAAAGATGCTATGCATCTGCTGTGGCAATAGGCGTGATCACGGTTCAGCCTATCTCCAAGATTTCTTGCCAATGCAATACTGCTAGCGTTATAACGATAGTTTCTGCATGTTCTGAGCAGAGCATGCAAGAAATATAAAGCATCTTACCTCCTACCTCATGGTCCGTTTCGAATAGCGCTTCAGGAACGATCGTGATCGTGTGCATTGTGTCGTGTACCAGAAAGCATTATTCTACGTCACGATCAGCAGCGGTGATCACTTGTCACTCCAAACGACAAGCTTCTCCTTGCGCCACCAACATTTTTCGTTGCAACAGTTGATGCAAAAGTGACTGAATTTTGCGTGTAGTTTTTAGATTTTACTGCAAGAGGAATGATGAAATCACGTGCCTCGTGACACAAGAATGCCAGGTCTCGTAGGTCTCCTAGATCATTGTTCCCTTCAAAAGATTTTGTGCGGGCTTTGGAATGTTGATCTACACCCCAAAGCAAACCTATCGGCAAAATTTGAGCGAAATCTGAGAGATCGACTTGCACATATGTTCTGGTTTTCTCAGACATGCTCTCTTAAATACATTTACATGCATTACTTGTATTGTCACTTCATCACGGATCAGCTTATGAGAAGGCTAGCCAAGCTTGCTTAGCGATGCCGACGCAATAACGTCGAAAAAATAATACCCGCTAGAGGACTAAAGAGCAGAGCGATGTGATGGGACCTGTTTACATCTTTGTCCACTTACAGTAGTGCAATAAATGTCAACAGTGTACATGTACATGTACATCGAGGATGCCACTTGTTCTCTTATTGTAATGCTACATGATTGCCAACGTACCCCGGTCACCACCCCCTGCAATCACAATACCCACTATAGGGCTGAGCAAACAAGACCACTGTGTAATGAATGAGTTTTATTTTTTATTGTAACAAACTTGGTTTTGGTTTTTGATTGAAGTTCTTTATTTTACACATGGATTTTTCTGATTTCTTCTCCAGTGTATTATTTATTGCATTTTAAACCATTGTATTAATTTGCCCGTGAAAGAGCCCGAAAAAACCCGTGTAGGTGATATGCTCCGTAGGATGTCAATCCCCGGAGGCACCTCACAACCAGCAGATGGGTTTGATGATACGATTGCTTTTACTACTTTTATTAGAATGACTACTCAATTATATTATGGGAAGAGATGGCCAATGTCAGATCCGAAAAAAGGACACATCAATAAGATGACATAGAAAAGAAGACAGACAATCTAACGAGGAAAAAAAACAATCGATTGAACAAGATGTCAGAATAAAACACGCAATGGCAATGTTTCGGGGGGTGGGGGATGGAAGGGTGGCTAAGCCAACAATGGATGAACGCAATGATATCAACTTGCTTAGGATTAGAGGGATTGACAGAGAGGACTGTTCACAACTACAGCCATCCCAACAATATTATTTGCTGTCGGTGTAACGAAAATGTGACACAGCAAGGTGCAAAGGAAAACGAAAAGAGAAAAAGAATATATGGAAGAGTAGGCGCTAGAATCGAGAAACTAAAGCTTGTAACATTCCCACGCATCACAAACCTTAGAAAACTAACCCAACAGCAGAATTATCGAATCCTGAACTGACATACAGACAGGCGTTCTTGTGAGCATGGAGCATCGTTAAACATTCCAGTACCACCATCCATCTCCACACAGTCTTCACCGCCCGGACCCACGTTGTTTGGCTCGCCCTTCAGAAAGTTGTTGATCACAGCGGGCCGCCCAGAGACATCTACGAACCTTCCCTCGGTTTTGAAATCATTGTAGAACAACCAGACACCAGGAACGCCTGTGAACGGGCGGATGAGATTCTCTAGGACAATGAATTCTTGCATGTTGCTCGGACTGGCCAAGTCTCCACCATTCCGTCGGCAGTTTCGGCGCGCTTCTCCACGGGTCATGGGGCGATTCTCGTAGCGGTAGATCAAAAGTCCAGTTCTGGAGTTTCTGCAACATTGGACAGTCATTGAAGCTGTTCTTGCCTCGCGCTTGCTCACAGCACTGGAGGTGCTATTGACCTTCTTTGCAGTTGTGTAATCACCTGCTGCACGTCGCTCCTCCGCCAGTTGACGTGCCTGATCAATCTCGTCTTCGTCCATGGAGGATAAGTAATCTTCAGCATCGCGCTTACTCTTATCCGCGGTAATGTCGTCAGCCAAAGTCATTGAGACCAGGCACAGAACAAACGTCAGAGCAATGGTAAGACGCATCATGGTTGTGTCACTAGAGGAAAGAATATATTTCTGATAATTAACACAGCTGGCAATAGCGACTGGAGGTTGGAATTGATCAAATGAGGGTTTCGTCTCTGAACTTAGTCAGCTCATCATGGTCCTTTTATACTCGCTTTCGTGAGATCTTTGAGGCGGCCAGGTGCTGACTAGTTACTATACTATAGCTCTTTGTTCCTGTAATATCGCTAAAATGGACTGTTGACGCTGGGGGAACCGTTGGTTAGAGTAGGGACAAGCCATACGAAAACACGTACATAATGCACACAGTCTTTAGCATGAACTTGTTGAGGGCATGGGAAAGGGAAAAGTCTGTGGAATACAAAATGACTTTCACCACTTCAGTATCTGTCGATTATACTTCACTGCTGATGCAGTGAGACTTCTATCAGAGTCGGGGCGCCGCTGCGGTGAAGACACAATGGCAACTGTTTTTCATTTAAATTACCCGGGGAAGGACCAAGCATTCTTGGATTGCAATCACTGCTGGTTTCTAGTTACCGAATGTTTGGCCTCGTCAAGCGCTCATGACGTAGGGATATTTCACCTTGTGGCGTTCTTTTCTCATCCTGTCGTAGGCGTTGCCACATTGAAAAGCTGGGTTGGCGGAAGGTATTGGAGCCAATATACTTAGTTATGGCCACGCGGTGTCCGTAAGATCGACGTCTAATTTTTCTTATCCTGCCGCTACTGAGGTTATCCCTCCCAATCATTCAATTTTATACATGTAGGTGTAAAAGCGTCACCCACTACCGTGTTCAGGCAAAGTTGGAGAATGCCTGAATAGTTTCAAAGCTGACTACACCCTTCTCCTGCCTACAAACACACGCACACGCAAGCACCCATGCAATCCCTCTCTCACTCTCACACACACGTTGCCCGTGGACGACAAGGAATTTACGACATGCCGGCACCCCGGAACAAAATCAATGGGCATGGATATCTTGACTCCGCTCGTCTCCAATAGCACCATGAATAGTTTTGAAACTTGAATGCTGAGCAAATAGTGTTCACGCTAAGCGACTTGCCTCGTTGTCGCACTATCTATCTGTATATATATCTCGTTACCTTGGTGGACTGTTCTGTCATAACTGTTAGCATATGGTTTTTTTTACCTTTATTAAAAAGTGAATAGTTTTGAATGTCCCCTATGCCTATGGTATAGTGCTCGGCCAGCTGAGCAATGCTCGTTAAACTTCGATCCTTGATATGAGTGACGTCTTTCTCTAAGAGGTCTGCCATCAGGTAACTTTAAAACGACGAATGGAACATGGAAAATACCAGCCGCGCTCTAACACGCGTGCGCTTCCATTATTGTTTATCTCCGGGTTCCCCAGGTTTGCATGCATAGTACAGTGTGCCTCTCAAGGGTGCAGTGCGTGTCCTGGCCCTGATCTCAACTAGCGTGCTTGTGTAGCCGTCACCACTTAGCACAAGAGCGCTAGTACTAATAGTCTCTTGTACGGGCAAAACCAAAATTTGATCATGACTGCCACAGGTCGAGTGTGATACCCAGGAGTACGCATTGTTCACATTATGCATAGTGCGAACACGGTGTTTGTACAAGCCACTTGGAACCAGTGGGTGTTCATACAGGAAAATCCAGTTGCATGCCAGGCATGTAAGATGTGGTCCGCGTATCCAGAAAATTTGGTGGATAGGGGGAAATTTGATTTAGGCACCAACCTATTAAAGTGGCATAATTACATGCAGTGAGATGTTACTTGAAAGTAATATTCTAAAGGTCAAGGTATCGATTGCCGCACGGGATGGAGTCCGCCCTGCACACCCAGAAAAACATACATGTACTAGCGGTTAAACATGTACATGTATACGCATATGTAAATGTTGTTTTTTTGTTTTTTTTTTACTAAGGCCACAGCTTCCAATCATGACATGCAAAGCAGCGGTGCAGCATCGCAGGCATGAATCGTGGACGTGGTGACGGGGTCTGATGTGCTCCACCGACCTAGGGTCTCGACTTCACTGCACAGCAAACGCGTCGAAAGAAAACGGGGGCTAATAATTATCGGGAGATGGGGGAAGAAGAAGAGAAGAAAGAAAGAGAGAGAGAGAGAGAGAGAGAGAGAGAGAGAGCGAGAGAGAGCGAGAGAGAGCGAGAGAGAACGAGAGAGAGCGAGAGAGAGCGAGAGAGAGAGAGAGAGAGAGAGAGAGAGAGAGAGAGAGAGAGAGAGAGAGAGAGAGAGAGAGAGAGAGAGAGAGAGAGAGAGAGAGAAAGAGAGAGAGAGAGAGGGAGAGAGAGAGAGCGGTAACGCACCAGCAGGCACCCCGCTAACGCAAACGCGCATGTACACAAGGAGATAAGCCGAAGCTGGAATCCGAGCCGCTTGTCAATCTAATAATTATTGTGTAGGCTTTCTGGGAGACTGTAATTGCAATTTAAGATGAGTACTTTCCCAGTTGGTAATGCGAACATGGCAGCATGCGGTTGAAGACCATTCGCAACCAGCTCTAATTGAACCATACTGCGCCCACTGCACAGCATTCTTTCGGATCTGTGGAGAGTTGGCCGTTCCCAGGGCATTCTAAGACCTGTCACCATAGCATTATTAAGGATATACTGGCGTCGCCTTTTCGTACTCAGTAAGACGTAGGGTGTCTAAGCCAAAAATACTAAGAGGATCCTGAAGCAGTCGGCACCTCCCCGTTAAAGAGAGTAGCAAGCATACAGTATAAAATGGGCAGCTGAAACAACAGAAACCAAACCAACAGTTGATCCGCATCGGTCATATAATTAGTCGATATTGACAAAATTAGCCTTCAGAAATATTCTCTACTTTCCAGTGAAGTGAATATGATGCGTCTTACCATTCTTCTGGCGTTTGGTCTGTGCCTGCTCTCAATGACATTGGCTGGCACAATTTCCTCAGAGGATAGCGGAAGCTATGCTGAGGTTCTCTTTGACTCCCTGGACGAAGAGGAGATTGACAAGGCACATAAATTGGCTGAGGAGACTGCATCGTATGCGAGCAAGAGCCATGCTGAGGAGTACTTGGACAACCTGGACGAAGAAGATATTGATCAGGCACGTCAAGTGGGTGCGGAAGCACATTCAGCAGGTGCAAAGAAGGCCAACAGCACCTCCAGTGCTATGGGCAAGCGGGAGGCAAGAACAGCTTCAATGACTGCTCAGTGTTGCAGAAACTCCAGAACTGGACTTTTGATCTACCGCTATGAGAGTCGCCCCATGACCCGTGGAGAAGCGCGCCGCAACTGCCGACGGAATGGTGGAGACTTGGCCAGTCCGAGCAACATGCAAGAATTCATTCTCCTAGAGAATCTCATCCGTCCATTCACAGGCGTTCCTGGTGTCTGGTTGTTCTACAATGATTTCAAAACCGAGGGAAGGTTCGTAGATGTCTCTGGGCGGCCCGCTGTGATCAACAACTTTCTGGAGGGCGAGCCCAACAACGTGGGTCCGGACGGTGAAGACTGTGTGGAGATGGATGGTGGTACTGGCATGCTCAACGACGTTCCCTGTTCACAAGAACGCCTGTCTGTCTGTCAGTTCAGGATTCGATAATTCTGCTGTCAGTTTGCCAAGGTTTGTGATGCACGCAATTGTTGGCCAGGTCATTTTCTCGATCCTCTACTTCCCCCCCCCCCCCTCTCTCATTCTCTCTTATTTTTCTTTCTCTCAGTTCTATTTCTTATATTGCTATCTGCAACTTTGTTTCACAGCTTATGTGAATCAAGCATTGTTGACTGCTAGGGTGGTTATGGCTGTTAGCGGTGCATTGCATGTACTTCACTCCATCTGCCATTGGTGAAAAATCATGTCATTAGCGGTCTTTCAGTGCTAGCCTTTACCCCATTCCAGTTCCTCCTGAATTAGAATCAAAGTATTGAAGTTTCTGAGGTTGCATTTCATTGCATTAAAATGTATTGCTTCATGCCCCCCCCCCCCCATCCATGTTTGTATTGCCATCCCATGGTTTCTTCGCCGTGTCGTTTGCATTCACCCACGATGTAGTCATTCCAATACCTGCAATCCAATCTGGTCTCTGATTTTGTGTCTTGCGTGCTCCCAGTCAGTTTTTGGTGTGCGTGTGATGTAGACAGTGCACGTCTTTACTCTGCATTAAAACATAATCGGCTTGGGTGAGACTCGGCTAGAGGCTAAGTGTCCCGCATCCGTATGAATGTCACCACCCATCCTTCAAGGATTTTTAGTAACCTTATTTTAAACTCTCTTATTTTTGACCCCCACAGAAACTTGTGATCTCTAAGCGGTCAAATATAAGCATAATATTGACCGCTTACATTGACCACTTAGTATTGACCACTTAGCCCTAGGCGAGGACTTTAAACTTTTTCCTCAACTTAGAAAAAAATCAGAACTGAAAGAAGAAAATCTGAAGTCAAATGTTGGGATTTGAACCCAAACTGTCAGATTCTCAATCAAAGAACTTGGGGAACATATGTACTACAAATGACAACTGAAAAGTTCTGTTTACAGAGAAGTAATGTCCACTGTAAACGGCATATGAACATACTATGTACTATTACAATAATATTCATTTCTTCCTATAAACAAAGCTAAAAACAGCGTAGGTATGCTATGTCATGATAAATCTATTACTGCCCTCATAATCGGTCAATATATGAAATATATTGACCTCTTTAATCGTGCAATAATAGATACTTAAAAGGTAGTTGCCTATCGGATTACAGTAGGAGCAGGTACGGATTTGCGTGATCCACATTATTGATGTTTGCTGAGTTTTGATGAAGACGGATTGCCATTTTAAAATTCGCGTCTCCCAGAACGTTCCCGCGTTTAAATTCACCACCATCTTTGCGCTCTGTGGCCAACCACATACATGTACATGTACATTGTACTTGTACATACACTCATTTACCCAACTTTCAAAGGCTTACCCTCTGGATATGTAACAAAATGTGTTCCAGAATTCTGTTTAATTACATGCACATGTATTTCATTACAATGTAGGTTGACCCAATGCTGTAGACAGCAAGCTGGTTCGGCCTTTTAAAAGCAGGGCCTCCGGAAGCAGTTTTCAATTGGTCGGGTCGTACCATTTTCTTTTATACTTTGTGTACTGTATAATATCAAAAAACAAAATCAAAAAAGGAGTCGCCGTATGCTGTCCATGGATTAATAGATGGCTCCCGTAGACCGGAATATCGCTCGGCTCTTCGGGCACACCTTCCATTAATTTCGGCAAGTGATGCTCCCGCTGATGTATGGTCAGCTGCCACATCTGCGATCAAATCTGCAGCAGACACCGCCATTGGTCATCTGCACCGATCCGAGGCTAGGAACCGTTTCGTTCAACCAAACGCACAGGTTGCTCGGCTTTCACTGCGGCAACGGGAACTGCGAATATTAGCTGAGTCCGGACACCATGATGCTGCGCAGCTGAAGAAGGAGCGCAATCGTGTCATGCATGAAATCCGTAATATCCAACGGACCGAAGCCAACTCTCGCCTGGACAGAATTGCCGAGGCGGTTGAGAGCGCTCCAACCTCCGCGCAAATGTTTATAGCAGCCTCCCAGCTCAAACGTGGCAAGCCGCAGCAGCTCTTCGTCGAGTCGGCTGATGGTCACATCCTCATGCGCGATGAGGAAAAGGCATCTCGCATACGTGATCACTATCAGGGGCAGTTCAACACTTCTGATGACCTGCTGCCACCGCCAGCTCCGCACACACTGGAGACGCCCGTTTCCACCGAAGAAGTAGAGGCGGCTTTGAGACGACTGCGAAATCAGAAAGCATGTGGGCCGGATGGTGTATGCGCAGAACTCCTCAAATACGGTGCTGAGTACATCTCCCCGATCATCACCACCATGATCAACAACAGCATCACCAGGGGCGACCACCTGTGTAGTGTTATTGGTCCAGGCATATTGATACCGTTACCAAAACCTAACAAGGCGCGGGGACCAGTTGCAAACCTGAGACCGATTGTATTGCTGAACACCCTGCGCAAGGTCATTTCACTCGTTGTGCTCAAACGTATCACACCACGTGTGTCGCATTATCTTGGATCCACTTCGTCTGGTTTCAGGCCTGGCCGTGGCACTGCCGATGTGGTGTGGACACAGCGCTGGATTTCGGCTAAGGCCACCCACTTCGTGTGGGATTGCCACGTCCTTGGCCTCGACATGTTGAAAGCATTCGACACCATTAGCCGCATAAAGCTCCTTGCTGTTATGTCAGAGATTACCGGACCTGACGAGGCTTGCCTGATTCACCATTTGCTGTATGGTACAACACTCTCTGTTTTAAGTGGGTGCCACTTCAGCGGAGGCGTTTGTTAGCACGCTAGGTACACCACAGGGTGATGGGCTGAGCCCGGTTCTGTTTGTTTGCTACCTGGAAGCAGCACTGAGGGAGACTCGAAGCAAACTACCACCACGGCCAGACACTGATGCAGCAATACCACAGGAAACAGGATATGCCGATGACATATCCTTCTATTCGACTGAGCGACAATGGCTTGCCAACTCCCTACCCGTGATAGCTGACGGCCTGGGTGACTGGTCACTCAACGTTAACAGCAGCAAAACAGAGTGGCTTCACATCTCTGCCTCCACCACCGAATGGCGAAGATCGAAGCAACTTGGCTCTCTCTTGGGGGAAGAGGAGGACTTGAGCCGACGAATGGACCAAGCATCAACATCGTATGGCCGCATGTATTCGCTCTGGATACGACGTCAACTTGTATCCGAGGAAACCAGGCTTCTTCTCTACAATGCCATCGTCCTACCAACACTGTTATACAACTGCGAAACCTGGGGACTGACAGAGGCTGCACTGGAGAAGCTGAACGCCTTCCATAGACGTCAACTACGGAACTTGTTCGGAATTAGGTATCCCGCCATCATCTCCAACAAAGACCTATATTCCAGAGCACACACACAGCCACTTTCGCACACCGTTGCTGTCCGCCGTTTCCGGATGTTGGGTCATGTTCTGAGGATGCCCTCAGATGCCCCGCCACAGCAGGCAATGGACAACTACTTCCGTCGAGATGTCACTGGTGTGCGTGGACGCCCGAAATCGAACCTGGCCACGGCAGTCAAGGCAAGCACAGCTGCCAGAGACATGCCACTGAAGACCATGACTGATCTGAGTGGGCTCAGAATGCGCGCTTTGGACAAGCAATCATGGAGGGAACTCTCAGCCTGAGCTGGTTTTGCTCGCGGCTGCAACGCACGGGGTAGTGAACCCAGGACAGAAGCGGACCAGGCATCATGACTTTGCACATCTATCGTTATGCTGCTTCATTACGCGACCTGTTTTATTATTATTATTATTATTACTGTATAATATGGCGGGAGCGTATGCCCTCCTCAGCTTTACACATGCATTGGTTGCCACAAAGTTGGTCCGGTATTAACCTGACCAACCGGACCGGTGCTGGCGGGCCTGAAAAGTACCCAATTATCAGGTTGATAAAACACGTGTCCGTCTACACGCGTCGAGCATCACACGATTTATCCAAAATGCACAGGGTGTACTGGGTGTTAGCGGCCGTCATGAATTCACTTCGGGAATGGGCACGATATTTATACTTTTTTAATACTTTTCTTTACTGTGCTGCTCACAATCCGCTCACGTGAATCACCATGACCATTTCACATCCCAATATTCGCAAGTCTAGTGCTGAACAGCACCCAGCGTGGCATTCATTCCACTGACCGGATTTCTCTACATCTAGAATGTAGCTACAAACTGTCCTGTGACATCTTGAAAATCCATCCTATCTCACCAACACCTTCAGTTCACGTCTCTTGCCTAGTCGATTCGTGGTGATTATCCTTTTTTGGCAGGCTCGTGTATCATTAATATTACGTTGTACAATGTACATTTTACAAGAATGTCCAATACTTGATCAGGCTGGTACTGTAGCCAAAATGTGCAATCTACATGTACATCTATGTCAGCAATTGCGCAAGCACGGAAAGTTGTGGAGTTGAAGTACCTACCAGTAGTACATCTCGAAAACTAGCTGGCAGTGCTTGTAGAACTCAAGTAGATAAACATTGCTGTACATGTACACGCACAGACGTGCATATTAATCTAGTCAAGTGCTAACCAATGTTATCCTCGCAGCGTACTTAGCACTTTCAGAGCGAGATGCGAGTTTAATATGCAACACGAATACCAGCCACCCTCCACTTCCAAGCTGCGTGTACATAATGCTACGTTGTATGGTGGCCAAAGTACTTAGCACTATGAAGGCATAAACATGTACATGTACCATTACTCTGGACACAAACAAAACCAAGAGCAGAGGTGGTTGAAAAGTAAAATGGAACGACCAGGTGAGAAATAACGAAAGGGACAATGTACACCGTACTCGCCCGATTGGAGCTAGTCTCAAAGATCCAGTGAAAAAAATACAGCCCTCCCTAGAATAGTCCCCCCCCCTCCGGTCTTGTAACCACACGCATGTGCAAGTATTTAACACTTTATTGGCCAGCCCATACATTGATCGAACACCGATGTTCGATTGGGTAGGCATTTTGAAATTATCGTAACTTTGGTGTTCTTTTGCTGATGTTCTTGACTTCTCGTTTATCTCATTGCACCAGTGATTTCAGGATCAAATTCTCAATTCTTCTTACCATTTCTTTTGAATCGTTATAAAAAAATGTTTTTTTAATGCGACGGGTTCGCGTACCGGGCAGTTCAAGAACAAGGAGTCGTACAACCTCCTGGCCAAGAACCCACCTTTCCGCTTCCGTGGGACGCCACCACCCCATGATCAAGAATCGTTATAGTTTACAGTAAACGTTAGGATCTGTTTTTCTTTGCCTTCTCTGTTTTTTATGCTGCATGACGAAAATTGTTCAACCATTGAAAAACGTACCCTCTCTTGGGCAGTGCCCTCTCTTGAATAGTGCACGGGGGGCACTAAAGGCGCGAGTACGTAACAGGGTTAGACTACATGTACATGAATGAGGGATTTGTTCTCTTCACTCACCTCTCTTATTGGCTTACACTTACTCGTATATCTCGTACTTCACCTTCTTT